AAAAACCCGAAAAGGCAGGCATCACTACTTTATTGTTGAGGAAACTGAAGCACAGCGTTTAAGTAACTTAAATGTAGTCACATGACTCTTACCTGCATTCCTCAATTTTAACACCCCTATTTAAACATGGAAAAATGAGGTAAAGCTGAATTTCAGGAAGTATTTCTGGACACAAGAGAAACAAAGTAATAAATCTATAGAAGATGGAACTACAAACACTGAGACCTTTGATGAACAGTAATCACAACAATGATTACAAAACACCAGGACGGGATGGCTCAGTGGGAAAAGCGCCTGCTGCCCAAGCAGGAGTTTGATCCCCAGCACCCACATGGAAAACTGAGTGTGGTGGCACATGACTGCAACCCCAGCAAAAAGAAAGGAGAATCAGGAGGATCCCTGAGGCTTGCTGGCCAGCTAGTCTCACCAATCAGTGAGCTCCAGGTTCAGTGAGACCCTGTCTCAAAAAAAAATCAAGTGGAGAGATGGAGCAGGGCAACCAACATCAATCTCCACTCTTCACACAATCGTGCACACATGGAGACATATCTGCACATACATGCATACATTATAGAGAAGGGGGGGCAAAACATCCACAGAAACGAACCCCAACTGCATAAACTCAGCAAATTCAAATCTTGGTTTGTAAAGCCCAAATCCCATCAGCATTCATTCAGCCCATGTGTTCTGGAGGAGTCCTGGATTAGCACTACATTTCAACGAGCCATTATGACCCATGCAGTAGCCTCAGTCACCCACAAATCACAGCCCAACAGGCCTTAGGGAACCAGAATACTTTACACAGAGCAATCTGTCCATCAGACCCTCCCCATTTCTGCATGTGGGCATTTTCATTCCCACAAGAACAGAGCAGCAGAATTTGAATCCTCAGTGAAAGTTAGTTACCACAGACCAAGCAGCATTTCCTCAGATGGCGCCCAGGGATAAGTGACCCAAGAGGCTGGGTTTACTTGCCTAATCCCCCAAGCAATGGTTCCTTTTAAGGGAGTGTTTTGCCAGTCCAATGGGGTAAACATAGACAGATAAAGGCACAAGCCACTGCCATGTAAAAATAAAGTAAGAACAAGGGCCAAGGAGGTGGCTCAGTGGGTCAAGGTGCTTGCTGCACTGTCTGCACTTACAACATCATTTGTAAGTCTTGAGCTGTGCTAAAACTCACACCTACAATTAAAACAGTGTCAGTGAAGCACAGTGCCCTATTTAAACCTAACAGTGAATGCTTCAACACTGGGCCACACTTTACAGCTACCACAAAATATCCCCTGGGGCTGGAAGAAGCCCTACTCTACAATTTAACACACTTCCTTCTACCAGTTTAAAAAAAAAAAAAGAAACCCTTCACTTCTAGAGCCTAGAGTCTCTACAGCAAAAAGTCTATTCCACTCAAGTCTCTTCCTAAGCCCCCTGAGACATACCACCACCCCCCTTTTTTTTTCCGACAGTCTCCAGTAGCTCCAGTCAGCCTGGAACTCACTATGTAGACCAGGCTGGCCTCAATCTCAGAGATCTGCCTGCCTGCTTCCAGAGTGCTGGGATTAAAGGCGTGTACCATTAAGCCCAGAACAACCCTTTTGGAAAAAGCATACTGTTTCTAGGCTAATGGCAAGTCAAAATTTACTTAAAAAAAATTTTTTTTTTTTTGGTCTTTTTGAGACAGGGTCTCCCTGTAGCCTCAGCTGGCCTGGCACTCACTATGTAGACCAGGCAGGCCTTGAACTCACAGAGATCTGCCTGCCTCTGCCTCCCGAGTGCTGGGATTAAAGGCGTGTGCCACCACGCCCGGCTTTACTTTAAAATTTTTAAATGAGCTGGGCATGGTGCACAGCTCTCTATGAGTTCGAGGCCAGACTGGTCTACATAGCAAGGTCCAGGCCAACTGGGGCTATAAGGAGGCCCTGTCTTAAAAAAAAAAAAAAAAATTTAAATGAGACCCTATTCATGACAAACGTGGTGGCACACGCCTTTAATCCCAGTGCTTGGGAGGCAGAGGCAGGCAGATCTCTGTGAGTTAAAGGCCAGCCTGGTCTACATAGTGAGTTCCAGGCCAGCTGAGGCTACAGGGAGACCCTGTCTCAAAAAGACCAAAAAATTGGCCAGACTCCAGTGGATGAACGTGCACCAAGGGTCGTCTTGGGACAAAATTATTTTGATATATCACAGTGAAAGATTTATCGTCCTCTTTTTTTTTTTTTTTTTTTTTTTTTTTTTAAAAAAAAAAAAAAAAAAAAAAAAAAAAAAAAAGAGAGAACTCCAGGTGGTTATTTCCTGCAATTGCTCCTGTGTGTGTTTATGTGATCATGTGTGTCCAGGTACATGTGGAGGACAGAAAAAAATCTTGGGTGTCTTTCCTCCACTGGCTCAGTCTACCCAATTTTTGACACGGTCTCTCACTGGCCTGGAGTTCACTGACTACGCTAGGCTGGCTGGCCAGTATACCCAGGGATCCCCCTGACTCCTCCCCAGCAGTGGGATTACAAGTGTGTACCACCAAGCCTTGCTTTTGATATAGGTTATGGGGACTGAACTTAGTTCCTCATGCTTACATGGTAGACACTTTACAAACTGAGCTATCTTGCCAGCTCCTTCAAGTACTACTGTTTCCTGAACACTAATACAACTGTGTGAGGTATTTAAGTCACCATCTCATATGACTTTCATCATCAACAGTATGACGGGTATGATACTGTCCTTTCCAACAGATGTTTAGAGAGGTACAGTGACCTGCCTACAGTCACACAGCTGAAAAGCAACCAAGACCAATCTATAGAAGGCAACTCCAAAGCCTGAATGCTCTTTAACACTCTGTCATAAATATTCCACTTAGTCAAGAGTAGATGGTTCAGAGTATTTTTCTTCTGTGTTTTGAAACTATCCCAAAATAAACTAACACATGACATTACCAGGTGAGGGAAACTACCACAACCAAAATGGTTGTTACAACCACTCCTTTAGAAAACACCACACATAACCAAGCAACAAGATTTGCAAAGTGTGACCCTGGCTAGGTGAGCTGCCCAAGGTATTTGGGTTTTCAAGTTGTTTCCTTATTTGAAAAGCTCTACACACCCAGTAAAATGAACTTCTGCTAAGCAATCTCAATCACTATGAGATCTGCTCAAGTAGAGTCAGTCCATTCTCAGTGTTTCTGTACTGTGGTATAAAAGTCACTTTTGCTCATAAAAACAAAAATAAAATCCTGCTAGATTCATTTACCTTTCTCTTCCTAAACACCATCCAGTTTCTTTTTCTTTTCTTTCTTTCTTTCTTTTTTTTTTTTTTTTTAGCCTTTTTTTTTGTCTTTTTGAGACAGGGTTTCCCTGTAGCCCCAGCTGGCCTGGAGCTCACTATGTAGACCAGGCTGGCCTTGAACTCTCAGACACTGGCCCGCCTCTGCCGCCCAAGTGCTGGGATTAAAGATGTGCACCACCATGCATGGCTCACCCAGGTTTTTAGGGAGGGAAACAGGTCGGATTAGAGTCACCAGAATCTGACTCACCCCCACTACTCCTTGCACTAAAGGGCAGTTTATTTTATTAAATGTTCCACCAACAGAGGTAGAGTAATCTGTTCTTACTGTAACAGAATAGTCACACGCAGCCAAGTAGTAACTTGCAGACAGGGTTCTGTATTAGAAAAGCATACCTATCATTTTATTATTAAACTAGAGAGATGCCGGGCAGACAGTCTAACAAAAGGTCTCCCAGCAACTGAAAAGCAGAGAAGTGAAGTTAAGATTTTTCTTTCTTTTGCAGATATGAAACACTCATTCAGTCAAGAAAGCCGGATTTTGTCTCCTATTCTTCTCTGAAATGGAAAGTGCCGCATGCAGACCATACATGGGGTAAACTGCATCTCGGAGCAATAGTTTATGTGCCAAGTTACAAAGTCCGTGAATACAAGGGGTGTATTAATGGGAAGACTGATACCATCTTACTACAGTGGCCTCTCTGTAGCTCCAGACAATGATCTGTTGAGGGTTTTCCAGGGATTCTGAATGTGCAACTTTCTCACAAGCCCCCTTTTACCCGGACTGGCTCAGTGCTGAACAAACCCTCCGGAAAGCAAGCCAAAAGCCCCTACGCCGCTTCTGCGGGGAAGAAACTCGACTGCAGCAGGAGAAACCTCAGACTTCAGAGACAAAGGAGTGAGTGGTAGATGGGCCAGAAGAGCTGGATCAAACAGACCCAAAACCTACAGGATCAGAGTCCCAAAGGGCTGGGAGAGGCATTACCAAGGAAGCGCCAACTGCACATCCGCAAAGGCGCAGGCAGTCACTCCTCAGAGCTAACCACAGGGAGGTATGGTGGCCACATGCCCCCCGGAGGCTGGGCTGGGCTGGGCTGTGGAGGAGGGGGTCAGCGGTCCCAGCCTCCATTTAATCTTTCACTAGAAGCAGCTTCGGGAACCCAGAGGAGTAGGCCAGCGTGGGACAGAGCCAGCCGTACTAGAATTCCCACGTTCCCTTCTTCCACGGAGGCAAAAGCTGCTGCCATCCACTGACCGTTCAGAGACCCGGGAACCCGGGGCCAACTCTGCCTCTTCCCCCTGATCCTGGCTGCCTGGAGCTCGAACCCCTGAACTTTGAGGACCCCCTTCGCGCCCCCTGATCCAGGCTGCCTGTGGCTCGAACCCCTGAACTCCAGGACCTTCTCGCGCCCCCTCCTAGACTCAGCTCCCACAAGCCCACCTAGAACCCGTCAGTCAACCGAGCTCCAGCCACTCAAGCCGCTCCCGGACCCCATGAGCCCGCTCAGTACCCCCAACCTCCACCTCCACCTTTTCCCTTCAACACCCCCGATCCGTGCCCTG